ATCTGTTGTAATCTTTTATATTTAAATGTATATTTAAATTTAAATGTACAGTATAGTAATTTTGTACAAATATTTGACCATTCTACATGAGCTTTGAATTTTTATTTTTCTTTCTATTGAGTTGTCCTGTAAACCTAAAACCATTTTCATCAGTAATAGATTTATCATTTATGTTCTGTTCTGAATTTATACTGAATTATACATTAGGCTAGCTATTGTAATTCTTACCAAGAAAATAGTCATGCAAAAGTCCCCTAAGACATTGCTTTTACATTGTACTGTTCCATCCCATTTAAACATCTTGACACATATTATACTTCAAGTATAATAAAGAAAATCCAATTTCCAAAGTTTTTTTTAAAAAAATTGTATATTATAGGAACTTTCCAAGAAATCAGATTTAGTATAAAGTATTAATGTAGATTTAGTATAAAGTATTAATGTAGATTTTAAATTATAAAGATTTTATGTAAATTGTACACTATTTTTAAAAACATTTTTACCTGATGTAATGACATTTGAACAAGTATTTACTTGGCCCCATTTGCTTCTACAGTAAGCTGTAAAACAAGTTTCTCCACTTTAATCTATAGCAATCTTTCAAGTGGTACAAGAGATGAGTAATTTTTAAAGAGATGGGTAATTTTTCCATCTACCAACTTTTCATGAGAATTTAAACTGGACTGATGAAAAAGGGATAGAAAATCTTCATTGCTTATTTGAGACATAGCTTCTAACATTCTGTTCGATCATACAGATTCTTATCAAAAAACATACATAAAAGCAATTCAATTATATTTTCTGATTGGTTAATTTTAAATATTCCTACCTTCCAAACTAAACATGTTAAAAAGTCATAGGAAATCCTAACAATATAAAAATAATAGTTTTATTTCTCCTGCAAAAGGGAACCAAGTTTTGTCACATTGTTCTTTTGAAGCTCTATAAGCTCACTCCATGATTTGGTAGCTGCAGCTTAAAGGAATTCTGATACGTATCCCTAATTGGACAGCACAGGGAAATCAGAACTTCTGCATACCTAGAAGAAAACTTTCTCTTATTGTGGCCCAATTGATTATTCTTTAGGGCTTTAAAAGCCCACAATAGCTGTAGGGTATCATACCATGGATATCTCTTGTAGGTGAAGAGCCATATTAAGTCTATTGAATACCTATAGACAAAGAAGCCATTCTAACATCTTAACAGATGTCAGGGGCTATACTTTTCCTTAAGTTTTCTTAATTATGGAGTCAACAAATTAATTAGTGCAAAGAGCATGAAAAAAGTGTTAAGTTCTGACCTAGATATGTGAAAATCTCTCTGGCAAAAGGCTTTTTAAAGTTTAGATTACTCACCATAAATATATGAGATGTCTGGGTCCTTTTATATAAAGAACATTATTAAATAAAACACTTTTTAATTTTCTAACCAAAATGTTAGGGATGGTCAGTAGAATTAGTAAACTATTGCTTAAAGGAGACTGCACATTATACTTTTAATTTTCAAGTATTAGTGATAATCAGATTTGCAGTGCTGAAAAATTATCTTTTATAATTTTGTTTTATTCCATTTATAGGTTTTAGATTTAAAAGGAGGCCAGAGATATTTGGAATACTGCTATTTGTTACCAAAGGAAAATGAGCACTCAGAAACTCAAGAGGAAGAAAAACAAGAGTCTGATAAGAATGAACAAGCTAATTGGAAGGAGAGGAAGAATCTCATTTCTATCTCCTTGGTGAGAAGAAGGAATAACCCTATTCTTCCTTCTTGCAATTTACCATAGCAAATATTACTGCATTTGCATGCTAATCTCCAGCATGGTTTCGGGAGAGGGAAACATAATAGAAAAGGGAAACTAGAAAAAAGATAATTGATAAAAGGGCATTAAATAATTTGAAAACATACTTATTTCTCTTTTTTTTTCTATATTAACTTTTAACCATTTTTTAAAATGTTGCAAGTAGCTGGCTTAAAATCTTAAAACATACTTTGTATTGGTTTTTTTTTTAAATAACCAAGTTAACTAAAATTTAAAAATGATGCATTTTGTAAAGCAAGCACATTTGTCCCTGTTGTCCCAAAGTGCTTTTTCAGAAGGCAAATGGACTTTTTTACTTTTTCACTCATTTAAGCTTTTTCAGCTCTGACTGGATGGTGGAGGATGGAAAGATTTATATTCCTTGCAGACAGCCAGACATTTCTTTGGATGCACCTGGACAACTGAGAATCTCTAGTCTGCACATTTGTCCCTATTCTATTGCTTTAGATTATTACATCCTGCTTTTTCTTCTGAAAGTGATGAGTATTTATTAAATAGCCAGTTTGTCCAGTGGCTTAGTATAAATATATTGTGTAATAGATGTAACAGATGTGATAATTTTTTACATGAGTTGTGTAATTTCTAGGTTGCTAATGAGATTGAATTCATTTAGTCTTTTAAGCTAATTGTTTTCAGTTTAAGTCCCTAACAGAATAACAGGTAATATATAAAGTCAAGATGAAATGGTAATACAAACAATAAAAGCAATAAAGCATTATAAATCATTAGTTAACATGCTCATTGCTAGTGAATTTAAGAAACTTGCACATCAGCGGGATTCATTTAATATTTCAAGTCCCAGTCGCTAGGCTTTTATTTCATACCAAGCCAAAAATTAGAAACCTATGGCTTTGTATAATAGCAATTGCACTTAGACTTATGTACTGCTTCATAGTGCTTCTCAGTCCTAAGCAGCTTAGTCAGCATATTGCCCCCAACAGGGTTTTTCTCTTTTGCTATTCTCATTTCAGCTTTAAGCAGCCTATTATTTTTGGAGACATAGCAATTTTGGTGTGTACCATTTTGTTTTGCATAATCACAGTACTATTGACTCTTTTTACTCATTAGGTTATTTTCCAGTTAATATACCCGAGATTACTTTGGAACAAGTGTGAAAATTAGGGCCTAATGTTATGAAATATCTCAAAGACAACTCTGTAACTTATTTTAAAATATATATGCTAGTTGAAAGCAGCAGTTTCCAAAACTCTAACAATTCTTCGTCTAACAATTCTTATTACACTGGATCAAACTGTTTTGTCTAACTGATCCTCAGATAGGTGAAAATTTTTGTATTAAAATTAGCTGCCACTATTACCATTATTTCCTTTTCATATGGGATCTAAAGGCAGAATATGTGGTTTATAGTTTGTGTTCATGCCCCAAATATGGAGGTTTTTAATTAAATTTTACGGCCATCTAATTGATGTTCATATAGTCGAAGTTATGGTTTTCCTGAAGAATTAATGCTTTCTAATTGTGGTGAAGATGACTCTTCAGTCTCCTTGGGACTGCAAATCAAACAATCCTAAAGGAGATCAACCTTGGCTGTTTGGAAGGACTAATGCCACAAATATTTTCGCCAATAAGCCATTGGAAAAGACCCTGATGTTGGGAAAGATTAAAGGCAAAAGATGGGGATGGCAGAGAATGAAATGGTTAATATTAACACACTGCACATGAATTTGGACAAACTCTAGGAGATAGTGGAAGAATGTGAGTTCTGGTGTGCTATAGTTCAAGAGGGTCACAAAGTGTTGGATGACTTAAATGACTTAACTGACACTGAAGTCTGGGCTGCTAACATTCAATTAACCATTAAACACAAACCCAAATAGCCATTGTGCTAAATAAATAGGCTTACCCATTACCTAGATCCAAACTTCAGCAAAGTGCCTGCTCTAGGGCTACCTGAATGTCAAGGAGTGGGCTATCCTATAAATAGGGAAATGCTATAAGATAAAAAGCACTCCTTGGACTGATTAGATGGCAATCCTGGGGGATCTGGAGATACCTATCCCACTTCCTACATTCTCATCCCACTTCCATAAGTGAGAAATAATTGGAGATGGACAATTCAACAAACACAACCCTTCTTGAGGGATTTTATAAGTGAAAATTTGCTCCCTGAATTGCACCTGTTAAGTCATGGTCATTTATTTGCCAATGTTTTTAACCAGAGGAATGTGACACATACTGCTTTAAATCCTTTAGTCCAGGTGTGGCAACCTTAAATACTCAAGAGCCATTTGGACTGTTTCCCACAGAAAACACTGGGAGCCACAAAACCCTTTTGATATCTAAAATGAAGGTAACACTTTTACGCTAACACTACCTTTATGCTAGGTATAAAAAAGTTGTATTTAGGAAATCAATGTACTACTACAGAGTAAACAAATTTTTATTTCTGCATGCAACAAAAACATTTTGAACACCCCAAAAAAGGACACTGGATTGAAGATTATTTTGAAATAAAATATTCAATGTCTATTTGAGTCCTCATATTTATGAAATAAAGCCCAACTTAATTTATCCACCTGCAGCAAACAAAATGCTGTCCATTTCTGTGTGCCATCATCCTTTTATCATGCATACTGGTGGGTTAATGTGATTTTTGCTCCTGAACCTCAACACAGCAGAGGCATATCTATTTTTCTGCACAATTTCACTCGTTTTTGAAGTCCAGTAGGTGTATTGAAATCATGGTTCTTTTATGTATCTCCATTTGTGAACAGCTTCCGGTGCCTATCTCTTGAGCGGCCACCAAATTAGCACATGTAGTTGAATTTGCAGACTTCATCCATTTCTTGAAACTTTTGCTCAGACCAACTTTCCGCATCAGTTCCAAAATGGCTTTTTTTTTCTCATCTCCATCCTGATATTTTCAGCAAAGGCTGAGTTTTTATTCTGGAAATGTCTTGAACCATTTGACTTTTTGTTTGCCAATTTCTCACCACGTATTAAGCATACTGGTGAACCAGTCTCGTCAGCGATGAAAGCAAATAGATCTGATCTGCCCGTGTACCATTAAACATTTTCTTCTGCAATTTTTGTCCTTAGATTTATCCAGGCAGGGTTGGCCGACCGGGGGTTAAAAAGCTCAGTAAATCGTGTTGCACATTGACAGTTGAGGCACATTTTGAGCAACAGGGAGCCTCAGCAGACGAATTAAAAAGCCACATGCAGCTCCATAGCCGTGGGTTGCCAACACCTGCTTTCACGACAATCTTTTGCTGCAGAAGCCAGAGCTGAAGAGTCGCTATGCTGAATACTGGTCATAATGCAGTCCCCAATACAGACCAATTTCAGCACGACAGGTACAAATACGGCATGTCAATTTCATCAAGAGAATAAAAAAAAACCGATGTCTTGTCTTGAATACACTGCAGTCCTGTAGCAAAGATGTGGTAATAGACCAAGGATTCCTTTGGAAATAACTGTAATTATCTGTTCTAGAACACCTTTGAACCTATGTTCAACCTGGTAATTTTTTCAAATGACTTACATGATTCACCTTTAACAAACTTTTTTTTACACCCTTTCAGGAACAAGCGAGCAACAGTGAAGATGTGAATTTGACAAACTTTCATCAGATCCCTACAGATTTAGCCCAAGCGATTAGTCATGATGTGAGCCTTCACGATGCCACAGTGATGGGATCAGATCACACTAATGTAACAGACGTGGACAGGCTAGAGATTTTACCCAACTTAAATACATCTCCAATGAACGAGACCAACATGTTAGAATTATTTGCAAATGATCATTGCTGCACAAGTCTTACAAACCAAGATTTCTTTTTCAGCCTGAATGAAAATGGATATGAGAAAATACATTTCATGCCATTAACCATGGAAGGAAATTTTGACTTTGCAGAAACCTATCATTTTGAAGAACGAGATTCAGATTCTGGACTTTCTTTAGACTTAAATTACAGTAATGCATCCCTTGTATTGTCTTCTGACAAGGATGCCAACTTTGGCATATCAAATGATTCAGTAGCTGTAAGAGATGGTTGCTTACAATATTGCCATACAAAGCATCAAAGCAATTATGACTATGGGACAAAATTACTAGTAGGTATATTCCATGATCATACATACAATCAGGATTTACAACAGCTGACATTCTCAGTATCAGAGGATTACTTAAGATGGCCAGAAGAATCCAAAAGAACTGAAAATGAAAATGATACAAATCAAAATTGTGAATACCAGGCAAAACCTCTGAAAATTCCATTCTCTGTTTATGATATAGTGACCTTGCCTGTAGCGTCTTTTAATAGCATGTTATCAAACTACTACCTAACAGATAATCAACGGTCACTCATTCGTGATATAAGACGAAGAGGAAAAAATAAAGTTGCTGCTCAAAACTGCCGTAAACGTAAACTAGATGCAATTATGAACCTGAAAGATGAAGTGTATCGTCTTCAGATGCAGACTGAAAAGCTTGAGAAACAGAAAGCACAATACAAAAGGTCAATTCGCAATATAAAACAAAAACTGAATGATCTTTGCTGGAACGTTTTCAGTAAATTGAGAGATGACCAAGGAACAATTAATACAAGCCAATGTGCCCTTCAGTGTTGTGGAAATCGTACTGTATTATTCTTACCTAAAATAGAAATCAACCAGGAGTCCCCAAACTGAAACAATTATGATAGGCGAAAATTTAAAATCGTGCTTAAGGATTGCATTTGCAAGAAGCCAGAAGAAAAACTTCAATTGTATTCCTTGCCTAATTTTACTGTTTTAAAGAATTTCAACCTAGGTAACTTTAAAAATAGACTAAACCCATTTTATATTTGTTCAGTATAATTTATTCAGCTTGCGCATGGATACGGATGTTAATGTGCTAACTACATGACCACAGAAAATCCTATCACCCGCAATTTCACTAGTTGCAGATAAGGGAGCTTTTAAAAATAAAAAATATCACTGCTTTTCATGTACATTGGGACAATGGATGTTCCTAAGAGTAACCATGCAGGCCTTCACTAGCTATTGGCAGTTGGGGCTGAGGTATATGAGCTAGCCTCCCACTCTTTCTGACAAATATTTGCTTTACTTTCCATGCTCAGCTAGTTAAGTCTCACTTTTACAAGAATTGGTTATAGATAATTTTTCAAATCAAGGGTGTATTATTCATTTCCAGGGTGTAGACAGTCCTCAATTTACAATTTATAGTTACAGCAGCACTGAAGTGACCTCTGACCAATCCTCATAATCCTCACAACATCCCATGGTCATGTTATCAAAAATTGGCCACTTGACAACTGGCATGTACTTATGGTTAACGATCCATGGTCATATAATTGCCATTTGCAACATTCCATACTCCCTCTAGCTACTTCACCCATCTGTACTATGCAGCACCAGTGTCCCACAGCAATCATGCCATTGCTTAACACATGAAGTCCTCGTGTGTTATGATGCTTTATGATTGCATCACTCAGTAACAGAATTTCCAATCCCAATTGATGCTATAGCCTAAATGCTACATCTACTACTTACCGTATTTTTCACACTATAAGACGCATTTCTCCCCCTCCACCCCAAAAAAGTGGGTGGAAATGTCTGTGCGTCTTATAGAGCAAATGTTGAAGCCCCACCCACCCTCCAGTCCCCACCCTTCAACCTCGGCCTCCAATTTGCCTCCTTGCTGTTCAGCATAGTCTGATTTAGCATGAGCAGCTGATTGGCTATTCCAGGCTGCGGGGATCACCATCGCCGCCTCCATGTGCCCCATTTTTGGCCCATTCCAGGCAGTGGCTATTGCCATCAAGCCAAAAATGGGACGTGTGGAGGTTGAAAATGGGGCACGTGAAGATGATCCCTGCAGACTGGAACAGCTGATCCAAACACCAATCAGCTGTTAGTGCTAAATTAGGCAGTGCTGAAGCTGACCAGACTGTTTGCTGTAAGGAGGAAAATTGCTGGGAGGCAGAGGCAAATTTGTTTTCCTCCCCAAAAGCTAAGTGCATCTTATAGTGCAAAAAATACGGTATTTGGAAGCGTTATCATAACAAAGTGCACACACTACAATATGTCTCATATTTCTATACATTAGCATACATAGCACTGTATTTTACATTAGGGAAGTTCCTGAGATGTTAACATTACAATTCTACCCATAGATTCCATGAGCATGAACTTGTACGCACGGAAATGCAAGAGATTGTATTTGTATACTGAATAAAATAAACAGCACAGAATTACTTTTTACAGAAAACCGAGCTTCTGTATTTATACAATTTATACAATTTTACAGATGTCATTACTTTTTTTTGTTGGGGGGGGGGGGGGGGTGTTCCTTCCTAATCCCAATGTTAATTTGTATAATATTGTTAATACATAGCCCAGTGAACCAATTTGTATTTACCTAGGCTGTACTGGTTTAGCTGTTTTATACAAATGTATCTCTGGTAAAAACACTGATGATTTTGCAAGCATCATTTCCAATCTGCTTAAGATTCCTATATTGTTTGAGAAAATATTTTATATAAAACACAAAGCTATGACCTTAATTGAGCTCACAAATTAAGTCATGCTTGGTTGTTAAGCAAGTCATCATATGAATGTGCCCAATTTTAAAATATTTGTTGCAGTTGCAAAAGCATCCAATCTTAAGAACTATCTTAAGTACCAGCCTTGTACCTAAGAATGTTAATACAGCCATTTATTTCAGTCTTTTAAATAAAATATGCCTTAAGAATTAGGGTTCATAATGGGCATACATAGAACCTCTGGTCACAACCATAATTTGTTCCATAAGTTTGGCGATTTCTTTGTCTTCTAATGTTTCATCTTCAGGAATTTCTGGGTCAGGGGTCGTGTTTGATCATCACCCAAGTATTTGTTCATGACCAGATTCAAAAATTTTGTGAACGTTTTGGTTGGAAGCCGATTTGGTCGTGGTCAGAGGCTTCTACTGTATGCAATTATTCTATCATTACCTTCAAAGACCAAATTAACTATATTCCACTTATTTTATTTTCCTATCCATAAGAATCCCATACTTCAAAATGTACTGAAAAAATTGGAAGTATTATCTTCTATAAATCTTACTGATTTAAATTTTTAGTTCTTAAACAGTGATGGAAGACAGAATTATCAGCTAAATACATTCTTAATAACACTGGTATTTCCATGCGTTACACCTAATGTTTTTGCAGTTGCTATTGTATATATTGTATTATGTACTAAACATAAGGATACAAATAAAATTACCAGCCATTTTGCCCAACTCATTTTTGTAACTAGATTCTTACAGTTTATTGATTTTCACTTAATGCTTAAGCACCTTTTCAGAATATTGTTGCTTTCCCCAGCAGTATAGGCAGTATTTTTCTTTAGATGCTAAAAAAGTAACCTCTGCCTTAAGATGCTAAGGGACAATATGTCCCATTTTGTAGGATGCTGTAGTATTTCCCAGTTATATTTGACTTTTATAGAATTATTTCTGCAGCTGTTTCTTCATTCTTCTATGCTTAGGTTATACTATGCTGCAGTCACTGGGCATAAAGGAAGATAAATGGATAGATACGATCCCGAAAACTCTGTAGTTAAGCATAGTATTTCCTCTCTTCTTAGTGCCAATTTTGTGCTATTTTTCCATTTCTTATAGCAGTATAATAGTACACACAATGATGCCGGCAAGTATGTAATTTGGTACAGTCCACACTGCATTGAAGAACTGGTTTTTTTTAATCATTTGGGGTGTTCATAAAATGGTAATATTGTATCAGACTAGGAATATTTTTAAACAAAAGTTTTTATTATAACACTTATAAAAGTCAAATATTTACATTATTCTTGATTTCCTGTGAGTCTGAACTTTAGAAAAAGTGTACCTTTCATTTTGTAAAGCTTTGACTAAATTACAATAGGCTGCAACTGAAACCATAAACTATAAAGGGTTTAATAAAAACCAGCAAAACCAACTATTTTGTGAAGAGAAAAGAAATATCTTATTTCTTGAAGTTTCTGTGGTTGACCACTTCTTCATTAGTTACCTGCAGCATTGGCACCTTCCTGCCAAAGAAAAAGAAAGTATCTGAAGAAGTTTATCAGAAGCCTCTTTGTATCACAGGAAAAAAAATTCAGCAAATGGCTAGAAAATAGATGAGGCAAGGCCAGGCTTTTAAGTGTGCAAAAGTTGTACAAAGCAAAATAGAATTTTTAAAAGGGTAATATAAGAGTATTTAAAAACTGAAGATTCTGGAATTAAAACCTTAATTTATATTAAACAGAATATCCCTCTAAATAAAAAAAAATTCCATGTCCATCGTATTGAAGGTAATTACAGCATTCAATAACAGAATAATTTTACATTGTGCAGTGTTAGAATATACGCAATGGAAACTTTTGTAAGCTAGCTGAATTTGAATACCACATGACACTTCAATTCTCTAAATTCATATTGCTATATAGTGTTGACAAGACCAGTGAGGGGAAGAATTCTGTATGCAAATTCTGCATAAACTTCACTTTCACACATAAAATTCAAACACAAATTCTGTGATACTAAAATATGTTGTACCGAAGAACAGATATGCAATTGTCCTATTCTGAAGAGCCATAGTTTTCAACTTCAGGTTTTAATATATAAGAATGGGTAAAACAAGATATTGTACCATTTTAAAAAGCTGCGACATACCATTTTAACTACCCATAGCAGGGATGGAACCCTTGCAAATCATTAGACACTTGGCTGGTTCATTTGTTCAGCAGGTCTATTGCTTGTCCATGGTGTATAAAGCTAGATTCCAGTAGGGAAAAGATAGGTTAAGCAGCTGAAGTTAAAAATAAATCAAAATATAACAGCAAAAAATGAAACCAACCAACAAATGAAAAACAGAGTAAATACCCAAACCCCCAAATCAAAACAAGAAATTTTTCCAGTGCACAATTATTAACTTGGTTCATTGCTATGTTAAACTAGATAATATAACCACTATACTGAAACAGTACACTGTCATATAGTAATAGTTTCTTGTTTTTGGAATATTAAAAAAAGTAAAAGTAAATAAGATCTTACCTAAAGTGGTTTAACTGAAGCTTAGAACTATTTTGCTCTAGAACCCTCAGCTCTCGTTGGCATCCTTAAAACTACTGTAGTTAAAGTTTTGGAGAAGTACAGCACAGCTTTTAAGACTGGCTGAACTTAATTGCCGTTCTCAAGAGTTCTTTTGCACTAGACCTGTGTCCCTGGAAGAGTACCTCGCTGGGGATATTTCCTTTACTTGCCATTGAAGAAGCAGCATCTAAAAGATCTAAAAAGGTGTTTCTCTTTGCAGAGATATCCCTTAAGTTATCTATGTATTAATCTGGTAATTTACAGAAAACATTATCTAACCAACATATTACATGTACAACAACAAATTTATAGTATTTGTGGGACCTTCTACTACCCACTCCTTGCCTTAATTTACAATATATTTTAAATAAATCTATAATTACACAACATTTCCTTTAGAATTATTTTATTAAATCATAAATGTACAACAGCTTCTTAACTCTACACACGTACTTAAAATTTTTTCAAAGGAAAACGTTATGTCTTATTACACCATGATCCTGGCTAATAGCTTTTCAAAACTTTTAGAGAAATTTTTTTAAAAAAGGTTTCACATGTCACCTGAAACTTACAAATTTAACATTATCAAAGGAATGCTTCTACACTCTTACAAAGACCACTAAAAAGAAACAACAATGAAAAAGCTAAGAAACTGTCTCAAAGGCATTTTTACAATCCTTCCTCCACAGTAAGGTATGATATTAAATAATCCAATCCATTCACAAAATGGCTCTCTGCATCTGCTCTGGTGTCTTCTGCCATATCACTGCATATTTATGCATGACTGAGATAAGTGTTTCCTTAACAAAGTTATTTCGAAAACCTGAAGCTGTTCTGTTACCTCTGGGCTCATCCTCTCCTATTTATACAGTGAAGCCTGTTTCAACAGAAGTAAAGAGTAAAAAAATAGGTTATGAAGTTATCCCAATTGTCTTTTTAAAGGAAAGATAATATGACCCTAAAAAGCTTTTACCCCTGCAGCTAAAACTAAGAAAAACTGCAATTTTA